TCCACCTGTAGCTTCTCCTGCAGCCACGACCGGTCTGCAGCGCGCGTGCACACACACACACACCACACAACACACACACACACACCACACACACACACACACACACACACTGCTCATCAGCTGATCAGATCACAGAGAGGATCAATGTTCTGATGTTAAATAACGTGAAGAGGCGTACCTGCAGAGAGCAGAACGAACGCTGAGAACAGAGCGAGCTCATCCTCCGACAGATGCAGTGAGCACATGCTTTTAGCAAAGTCGAACACTGACGTGATCAAATCATCGCAACCTGGTGACACACACACACACACACACACACACAATAAGATTACAGAGGGCGGAAGAAGCACTCAGATCTTGTATTGAAGTAATACCACCAAAAATACTCTTACATGTAAATTTATTAAGTAAAAATATCCAGTAAATATAATATATATATATACAGTATCTTGATAAGACACAGCATGAGAACAATTTTAAAATCTCCCTTTAATCTTAAACTAAGCTCATCATTTGTCTGCAGGAAGGGAGAGGAGACGTTATTTTGGGCCTTCGTCTGTGACAGGGTGTGAGGAAGAGGAGAAGAAAGTGTCACCTAATGCTTTGAAGACGTCAGGACCTGCGAATTTCCCATCGAAGTAGACAGTGTTGTTCTGAGAGTCAAACATCCGACACATTCGCACGAAGACGACCTCCAGAGAGCCTGACACAGAAAACATGGATGATTAACGTTGAAATCCAATGATGTCAAATCTAATGATAATTTAATGACCCACTGCTCACTACCTATTAATTTGATTAATCAATCACTCTACTAACTAAAGCACTTCAAACAAGACGGTTTCAAATATGAAAATCACATTTCTACTAAATACTAAAGACACATTTTATGATAGAAAACTAATATTTTATATTTGAGATAAAGTGTCTTTAAATAAAATGTAAGAACGTGGGAGGACGAAGTAGTTAACAAGTTATCTAATAGCTAGCTAATGTTAGCTAGACAACATGATAGCATCCTCTAAAGTCACTATCCCTTTAACTTAACTTATTAAAAATGACGTCTGGATATAAATTGACACTGGTGATGGAAAATCAAAAGCTGCTCAGGTTAAAGACTAATATGCTGGTAACCAAATAACTTTTCACTTTCAATAATCATAAACATTCAAACAATACATATTTTTTTGCATTAGTAACCTATTAACATGAAAATATGAAAGTATTCTATATTTTCTTTTATTGTCAATAAATTCCATTAAAAATCCAAAATCCAACAATGTGTTAGTCCGTCTTCAGGCCCATCGCTTCCTACTGAAGACTTTAATCTCCAATAACAGTTTCAGCAGACAAACTGGAAGAAACAATAGGCACACAACCTGCAGTTCCTCTAACGTCCACTAGAGGCTGGCTCCAGCAGTGAGTCAGTCTCCATAAGGCCCTGTATTAAAATGTCTTTACAGCAGAAATAAACATGTTTACAGCCTTTTGGTCTCTAGAGATAATTTCCTCGTTCATGACAACTGTCCAACTCACCGCTTTAAATTATATTTAAGTTAAAGTACATAATTAAGAGCGTGGTTGGTGACTGTTTTCATTAACCAGGCTTCATTCATTCGAAATATATATATATATATATATAATATATAAATATCTGGCTTTGTTACACAATACTTGTCTGTAAACACATTCATTGTTGGTTTGGATCTTTTCATTTGTTTACAAGAATACAGACTGAATAGCAGCAGACGTTTGGACGCGTGGCGGTCCCTCTCACCTGCTTTCAGCAGCACGATCTGGTCATTTTGACAGAGATCCATGAAGCCGTCGATACGTTTGGCGAACTCCACCACATACTGTATGGCCTCGGTGATCTTTACGGCACAGAGCTGCCACATCACCTCCCGTGGCTGCACAGAGCAGAGTGGGAGGATATGTAAACAGAAATACACCTGAAATGAATAATGACTGTGTCTGGGAAATGTGATTGACAGGGCTTAAAATGTACAATTAAAAAACACAGTACACAAGTACAGCGGTTGTTGTTGGAGAGTCTAATAGTGCCACAGAATCCCCCAGAAGGTAAAGGCAGTGAACACACCTTGCTCTGGTAGCTCTCCACCTCGTTCTGCAGGAAGTTCTGCCAGCTCATCTGCTGCAGCTCCTCCCTCAGGTACTGACACGTCTCCAGGTGAGACTTTGAGATGATCTGGGCCTGGTGATCTGCGATGAAACACAGGACGGTGATCGTGGCTGGATTCACGCACAAGGTCACAGAAAGTCAACACTACCATGGATGTGATCTTAAAGGTTTAAAATTACATTTTTACTTTCACCTGGACTGGAAATGCCAGCGAGTCAACCATTATATTGTATCCAATTCACACTTTTAATCACATATTTTATGCTGTTGCAAATCAGTGAATCCCTGCTACAAGATACACGACGCCCAGGAGTCGAGACCTGGTGAGGTTTGGGTTTGTGATGTTTTAAATATCCAGTGCTTTGGGAATCTTCATACTGTATGAAACTGTGTCAACTAAATGTTTGCCCCTCTGATAAGAAACAGTAAGGATTGTTCTGTGCTGCCGCTAATTAATGAATATGAAACGAGGTACATAAATGCAGTCAGCTAATACAGATTCTGGATCAGGGTTGGGGGGTCGGGGTTGTAGGGGTTTTATGATAAATGCTTTTGTCAAAGAAAAAAAATAATCAGAGAACAAAAAAAAAAATCTCCAGGGAGAATAAAGAGATGATTTCCCCCTTCGAGTGCCCTGCCACGTCCCACTTGGCCCTAATTAACAGACAGCTAATTACCACACAGAGATTTTAATGAGGTCTGAAGATGAGATTCCAACCTCCTGCTATTTTAAACCACCTTTCTGCCTTTGTTTGCCCCACAGTTCCCTCACTTTCTTTTGTCTCTAACTCTTCTTTGTGGCTTCTTATTCCTGTCTCTTCTTCTTCTTTTTCTCTTGCTTCACTTCTTTCTACATATTTCCTCATCTTCATGCTGTTTGTTTTCCCCTCCAGCTCTCAGCAACCTTGGTGGAAGCTCAGAGAAGTTTCAGAAGAGAGTTTGTATCCATTGCAGGAGATCACAGTGGGAGTCTGTAAACTGCTGTAAACCTCCGATCTGCACTCCTGAGATTGAGACTATCACGTTTAATCCTGAATGTAGCGAGATAGCCTGCTAGCCTCATGTTCTCTTCAGGCTTTAGTTTGGCATCTGAATGCAGTTTCCTGCTGTTTGAAATTACATTCAATGACAATTGAACTGATCTTCATACCTAAAGTAACCTAAAGGACATAACGCTTGTACCATATTATCACCTTGTTGCTGCTGTTTCCATTCAACCAGATGCAAATTCAAAAGATTCACTGCATGTATATATGTTTATAATAACTGTGAATTTAATTATCTTTTTCTATGTGTGTATCATAAAGGACTCATTTTATTATACAGTCTTGTGTTGCATAATACATCTGAAGAGTCGAAGCTGTACGCTAAAATCAAAACAGCAGCAGCTGAAATATCCTGACTTTTAGTTCCTAGTATTTCCCATAATGCAACTAAATAACATTATTTTCATTATACACTCCCCCACTTAGCTTATTTAGCAAATATGTAATTTTTGTGCAGCTAAATTTGATTTAGATTTTAACATTTTTATTTTGATTTGGAAACAAAACCCTCAATTTACTCTCACTTGGGTTTTTTGCCTTTTTCTAAACAAAACGTTAATACGCTGTTGTTGCGCCTTCTCCTTTTTACGAGAGAGAATTGGCACCACCTATTGCTTATCTCGTGAAGCAACTCCTAATAATCACAACAGTTGAGGATGGAAACAAACAAATTTCCTTAAAATGTGTGATACATTTTTATGAAAACATGCACGAAGAGGGACCCAGAGACAGAAAGTCTTCCCCTAGGACATCCTGGTAATCACATCGTCTTTTCGGGGCACCTAGCCAAACTAGTTTTTGAAAAGTTAGGGGGACTCATGTCCTCCCTGCCTCCTCCTCCTCCTCTACCTCTACTTCCTCTATCTCACCGAGTTCAGCCATGGACACGGTGGGCGATGTGTCTCCGTTGCTGAAGGAGCAGTACGGGAAGAAGCCGTTACCGGAACCGTAGTCGCACAGCGGCTCCGGTTTGATGCCATTAATGTCGAGCCCGGACTGGTCTGGGGATGGCTGGAAGTCCAGGTAGAACCCACCTCCTCCTCCTCCTCCTCCTTCTCCTCCACCTCCTCCAGAGTCTGCCTGTTTGGGGAAGAGATTGCTGTTGGTAATTCAGTCCATTATAAGGTGAGATTCTGAAAGGTAGAAAACCACAGACCTTGGACGATACAGATCCTCCCTCAGGTGAGTTTTGTTCCATGTAGCTTCCCAGCTCATCTGGCAGCTCCGTGAGGCCCGTGGAGGAGAGGCCGTAGTGAGGGGACAGCGGCTCAGACTCGCCCGGGCTCGGGCTGCCGATGCTGGGTTGGGACAGGAGGAGGGGACCCTGCTGCTGCTGCTGCTGCTGCTGCTGGAGGCGGTGCTTCTGAACCTCAGCATACAAACTGTCCCGCTGCTTCTTCGACATGCGGCCAAACTTCACAGCTGTGTTTGAGGTAGGGAAGGGAAGTCAGCAAGGAAATGTAATTATACTACTAAGTAAATACTGTTGTTCTGTGTATGAATGTACACAACAGCATCGATATTTAGCTTTAGCCTCAGTCTGTTAGCATGACATCATAACCTGGGACACATTTTTATAATGCGTTTTTTATGTGAATTTGATAACATTGTCAATGTATCCTTGTGATTTATTTAAATGTTTTATTATTTTTAAATTTCTGTTCATTTATTTTATTTTATTTCAGCACACACTGCTATGTGTCTGATTGTTGGTTGTTTCTGTTTACCTCATTTTATTTGTTTGTAATGCACGTTTTTTTTAAGTTATTATTATTATTACTGATATTACAGCATCATAACTTGACAAAGTATTTGACGACTTCAGAAAGAGAACAGGTAACTGCATAACTCTTTTTCTCGTGATCAAATTTCTGCAATTGCTGAATTTAATTTGAAATGAAATGTACTAAAGAGACTTTACGGCCTACTACCATCTGATATGAGACGGCCACACAGCAAACATAAAGGGGTTGCACCTGCATCCAGCTGAAGACCTTAAATAAACCATTTGAACACGAACATGAACACAGACAACATGTTGCAGACTGTTTTGCTGCTGGTGTGTCTGCAGGATAACATCTTGCAAAATGCTGACCGCCAGATGTTCGTGCAGGTGAGAGAGCGTTCATTGGTTTGTTATTTGAATGCACCTGCGTGTGCACTAGGTGTGTGTGTGTCTCACCGTCTCGGGACATGCCCACAGTCAGACATTTCTGCAGACGGCAGTGCTGGCAGCGGTTGCGGCTCGTTCGGTCGATCAGACAGTTTTTCTGGCGAGGACACGAGTAGGCGGCGTTACTCTGCTGACTCCGCCTGAAGAACCCCTGAGAGAGGAGGGAACAGGTACATCTGAGGACAGCTCTTATTTTCATATACAGTTCATATCATGTTCAGGTCCACACTCGCACATTCAGAATATCTGACGCCCCCTGTCTGTCTGTCTGTCTGTCTGTCTGTCTCTCTCCCTGTCTCTCTCACAAATTAAAATTAAAATTCAAAATGAGCTTTATTGGC